CCGACTCCAGAAGGCCCCTGGTTTCAGGCCTTCTGTGCAGAAACCTGTACCAACACACCAAATACGGGAGGAGATGATGATTCACGTCACAAAAAGGGCTCTTTGACAGGAACTTGCCACTTCAGCATTCCTGGAGCTTACAAACCTCCTCGAGGCCCTCTCCACACAGCACGTGATCACCCAAGACCGGTAGCTCATAGACGTTTTTCCACGCACAAACCGAGCCTGGAGAGTAAGGAGGGGCTGGGTGGTTTGCAACAGACCGTCTCTCGCCAATGGCATAGTTCAAAGAACAAGAAATTCACCCAGGACCACCCCCCTCCTGTCAAAGGAGCCGAATGCAACTCTCCTGTGTCGGCGTGGGGACCCCAACCAGTTCCGTGTCAAGGGCCGACACTGCCTAGGATGATGCTGCTCAGAAAGAGACATAGAAGGGCCTGCCTAGGCTCACAAACAAACATCCCGGGCGGGGGCGGGGGGAGGGCTGCCTTTTAAGGGCATCGTCCCGGCCCCTGGGGAAACTCACAACGGCAGAGGAGAGGCTGAAAATCCTACTCCAGAAGCCCAGAACTGCAGTTCTTTATCCTTCACCCAAATGCAGCCCCTTTTGCCTTAACCACATATGAAGGGCACCCGATTTCAAGACTTTCAGGTCACAACCTGTGCAAGCAAAACCAATTAAGTTCATGCAGGTGCTACACCAGGTGGAGGTAAGCCGGGAAGACTTCCTGAAAGAGGAGGAAGACAGAGAAGCTTTGCAGCTGCGTACCTTTGAGAGAGAAAAGGCTCAGCTCTGGCTATAGCTGGCCAAAAAGTCAACCAACTCCATGTTTCTTCAACTGTCCATCTGTGGCCCAGGGAGCTTGTTAAAAACGCACCTCTTCAAGCAACATCCCCGCCCCCCAGATACCAAAACAGAACCTCTAAAGGTGGGGGAGGGTGGGACGGTTGCTAAGAATAGTCTTTTTTTTTAAAACCAAATTTGCCAAGCAATTCATTTTTTATGCAAACCACAGGGTGCAGGCCAGGGGGACGCTCCCTGGGAGCAGCTGGTCTGGGAAGAGCTGGCAGGGAGGGCCCTCCAGGAGTCACGGAGCAGGGGAAGAAGGCGGGTGTAGATGGAGGGCTATTCCAGGACTGTTTAGCTCCAGCATCCCGAAGCCCTCTCCCGCCGAGACTTCCTGTTATGATCCTCACTGGAGCTGGCTGGTGAGAGAAAACGTCTGTGCCAGGGCACTGGGGCGGGGTGGGGTGCGGGGAGAGGGATGACCGTCTTTCCGTTTACAAGCTATAATAGAAAGGCTGGGACCATATGAAAAATCAAGTCTAGGCGACCCTGACAGTAACCGAGAGACTCCATCTGGACGACAGAAACGTGTCTGGTTGAGAGTTAAGTAACCTCAAAACTTCCTCATCCCAAACAAACACCAGCTCCATTCTACGTGCAGGCAACCAGCTGCGGCTGGAGAAGACAGCCTGGGTTTGCGTGTGTATTATCGGGGGAAGCTCTGGGCTGCGGCAGTCTCTGATGCAGGGAGAAGGAACTCTTTCATGGGGCTCCTCAACTCCACACAAGGGCTCTCTTATGCAAGGACGCTGGGCCAGCTTCCATTCACAGTGGTTACTTCCAAATACCCCTCCAGGCTGGCTCTGCTCACCCCGAAAGAAGAGAGGGACCCCTCCCCAGCCCAAGACGGCTGGACAAAACCCTCAATCCACCCCGAGGAAGGAGTGGGAGGCCGTGCTCCTTTAGAGCTGCTTGGATCACCGGGAAACTCGGCCTCACTGGGCTGGTTCGCACACTTAGCACCAGACACACCTGCTGCTCAGGCGGCGTGAGTCACCCCCCAGGCAGCGGGCGCCGGACTCCCCGACGACGGGGGTTCCGGGCTTGGCAGCGGGCTCTCACGCAACCCCGATGACATCCTCCACCTCCTCCCCACCCCCCGAGGCAGGTCAGGACAGATCAGGCTGTAACCCAATTTCTACTGAAACGACTCACTCCCAGGGAAGGTCCACAGAGGAAGGAGAGGGTATACGGAGATGCTCCACCCGCTCGTGGCCAAGGGTCCTCTTCCCTCCACACCCTGGAGGGACTCATCTGCCCTGCCGGATATAAAAAGGGAGGAGGGGGTGAGTTAACCTGCGGGAGAAGAGGGAACAGACTTCTCAGTTTTAAACCTCCAGAATAAAGACGGTCTGCCGAGATGCATAAGCTTTCGCCCGGGAAGCACAGCGCCTGTGGTCAATGATCCTGTATTGAATCCTTGATTGGATCCTGTATTGGATCCTTGAGGGCCTCCCTGACCGCTCAGCGGTAAAGAATCCACCTGCAATGCAGGAGCCACAGGAGCCGCAGGTTCAACTCCTGGGCCAGGAAGATCCCCTCGAGGAGGAAATGGCAGCCCCCTCCAGTATTCCTGCCTGAAAAATCCCACGGACAGAGGAGCCTGGCGGGCTACAGTCCATGGGGTCACAAAGAGTCAGACACGACGGAATGACTGCGTATGTAGGCACTGGACATTTGAAAATTTGCTCTTCTGTTAACTGCTTTTGCTGTCAAAAGATGATAAAATAGTAAATAAGAGGGTGGAAGAAAATTTTGGAGGTGATGGGTATGTTTACGGCATGTACTGTGGTATCAGTATCACGGTGTACGTGTATGACCAAACTCACCGAGTTGTCGACATGAAACATGTATGGCTTTTTGTATGTCAATCATGCCTCAAATAAGTGGTTTTTAAAGAAGACAGCCTGCTGAATCACTCTCAACGTTCACCTTTTTACATGACAGCTCTTTCTGCCATTTAGAATCCTGAAATGGATCGTGGACCAGAAAAAAAAACATTAGTAGGACAATTGGGAAAATGTGAATGAGGCCTAAGATGGGTTCAAAGTATTCTGTTACTATTAACCCTCACGCTGATCATCTCACTGTGGGTCGTAAGATATTAACACACAAGGAAGCTGGGTGAAGGGCATAAGGGAACTCCGTGGATTATTTTTGCAACCTTCCCCCAAATCTAGATTTCTATCAAAATTGAAAGTTGTTAATAGGGCTTCCCTGGTGGCTCAATGATAAAGAATCTGCCTGCCAATGCAGGGGACACGGGTTTGTTCCCTGATCCCAAGAGGATCCCACATGTCTCGGAGAAACACCACATCTATTGAGCCTGTGCCTAGAGCCCAGGAGCCACAAGGACTGAGCCCGCATGCCCAGAGCCTGTGCTCTGAAACTAGAGGAATCACTGCAGTGAGAATCCCATGCACCGTAAGCAGAGGCAGCCCCCACTCACAGCAACTAGAGAAAAGCCTGCCCAGCAACGAAGACCCAGCACAGCCAAAAATAAATATAAATAAATGAGCTTTTTAAACAGTAATAATTTGTAGAAGGACAGCATTTTAAATCCAGCTTCCCCGTAAATCTTCATTTCCGGCATTGCTAAAATAATTTCAATCCCATCCCTGAAGGCAAATTTTAAGTTACTCTCACAGCCAATGCTGATCAACTCTTTGCTTCGGGAAAAACAAAAGGCAGCAAAACACAGCATTCACTCAGTGAGCACTGTCTGAGCTCCTACTGTATCCTGGCTCCCATCTGCGGTATTACCTGCAGGCTAAGCGCTGCAGTCTTCCTCCAAGCCCACCTGGGAAAGGTCCACAAGAAGGGCACTCCTTTTATTTTAGGCATGACTGATTTAGAGCAAAGAGTGACTTCTGGGAATTTTCCAAAGGAAATAATTCAAAATGTGGACAAATCCTTATGTACAAAAGACTCACAAATGCATGACTTCAAAGGGTAAAAATTTGGAAATACCTTGGTGTCCAACAATGGGAGAATTGTCACTCAAACTATGATTCAGTGTCTGCAGCGAATACAGTCATTATGTGGGGAAATGTTCAAAAAAAAAAAGGGAGGTGGGGGATAGAGAGGGAACCAACGTTGTATACATTGCAGGGCTTTCAGCAGTGAGGAAATATGTCAAATTGCCAGCATTACTGTGGGAACTGCGTGTTTCCTGCATTTTGCATTTTTTTTTTTGTAGTTTTCTATAAAAGACAGAGAAAGGGCAGCGGATTACTTTTAAAAATCAGATGGGGGTGCAGAGGTGGGCTTCCAGGCCACCAGTGGGACAGTTTCAACAGCTCCTCTCCCAGAGAGGGTGGGCAGGACCACAGGGCACACACTGCATCAGGTAGGCAGTGCCAGGGACCCGGGTGTGGCCAGAACACTGGCTCCCGGGGGAAGAGCAGAACCGACACATTGTCTTTTTCCTTCCAGCGGTGCCTGCTTCTCCCACTTTCCCAAGCACGTGCTCGCGGAAGGCACTGGCACCGAAGCGAGACCCATGAGGGCTTCCCGAGGCGTTCTATGCAGAGGGGACCGCTGGACGGGGGGCGGACCATCACAAACAGACTCAGACAGGGCTGGAGGAGGGAGGGGAGGGAATCTCCCAGCTGGGAGAGCATCCCCAGGAAACCGTCTTCAGGGGAGAAGTCACGGCAGTTGAGGCCAAGTGCCAAAGGCAACGTGAAAGGAGGCCCTGGGTTAATCCATACACCAAGGCGGCCTGGCTCAGTCATTCGCCCAGCAAACAAGTGCTCGGGGCCTGCTTGTTGACAAGGCAGGGCGCCGCTCTGAAAGGCGCACGCACAAAAGGAGGGAGGGGAGCTGTGGATGCAGAAGCAGTTTGCTTTCAGCTCAGGACTCAAGAGGAAGGCCCCGCTCCTGAGGCTGGCGAGGACACCTCTTCCACTAACAATCTGCACTGACGGGCGGGGACGGTAGCAGCCTTGGAGGGAATTCCTGACACCTCTCACCCATTCAGTGAACCCCCTGATGGGTGGCGCGGTCCTTGCAGTAAAGCCGCTCGTCGGCGACCAGGATTGGGGACCGGAGACATCCCCCCCCGCCCCGTCGCCCCCACGGGGAGAGGCGCGCCAAGCGCTGCCCCTCGATCGCACTCTGGGTCGCCGGCGAGCAGACGTCGCGAGCTCACCGAGGTAACGGGCCCGCAGCGCGACGTGCTGAGAAGGTAGTAAGTGCCAGGGTGTCGGGCGGGGACCCCGAGGACGCGGACCTCTCCCCGGGCCGGGGCCCTGTCCCGCGGGGCGGCAGGCGGTTAGGCGGCGTTGGAAGGGCGATGAGCCAGGATAGGCAATGACCACCGTGAATCCGCTCCGCCTGGAGGCAGACGATGGCTAAAACGGCCTCTGAGAAGATGTCAATTACAAGAACAAAAATCTCAACCCAGAAGCGCAAGACCTTCTTCATAAAGCGACGCAGGGGGTCATATTATATCCGCTCCTCCCCGAATCGCGGGGAGACTTACCTCCCGGGAAGCGACCCGACTGTTGGGTAGAACGCACCAATCCACGGATGGAGACGAGGTTACGGGTCATCAAGCCCAGCCGAGATGCACCAAGTAATCCAAGGTAGAGGGTCCGGAGGCCCCGTCCCCATTTCCATTCAAGGCCCAAAGCGCCGGCAGTCCCCGCGGAGATCGCGCGCGGGTTCGCCGGCTCGGGGTCCCCAGCTGCTGCGCCCCGCCGACCGCGACGATCGCAGCCCGCCTCCCCGCGCTCGGAGAGCACCCAGCCCGGACGCAGCTGTTCATCTTTCTTCACTGCGTATCACCAGCTCGACCCCAGGAATCCCCGCCAGGAACCCCTCTGCCAAGCCCGGAAAAGCACAAGGGGCAGAGGCACTCTGGGCCTCGGGTCTGCAGGTGCGCGGGACCCGGGCGGTGCGGGGCGGGCTCCAGGCGGGCAAGAGACGCCGGTAAGAAGCGCCGAGCCACAGCCGCCCGCTGAAGGGTAGGTGTTCTCATAACCTCAGCTCCGCGCCCGCGCCACCGCGCGCTCTACTAGCGGCCGGATCATCCGGCCCTTATATAGCGGCAGCGGCCGGGGAGGGGCGGGCGGAGCGCGCGAAGGGGGCGGGGCGGGGCCGAACTGCTTCCCGGGAGATGGAGTTCCGTCTAAAAGCCCCAGATGCTGGGAAAGATTGAAGGCGAAAGGAGAAGGGGACGACAGAGGATGAGATGGTTGAATGGCATCACCGACTCAATGGACATGAGTTTGAGCAAGCTCCGGGAATTGGTGATGGACAGGGAAGCCTGGCGTGCTGCAGTCCACGAGGTCGCAAAGAGTCGGACACAACTGAGCGACTGAACTGAACTTCCAGCCAACAAGCGCAGAGTACCTTCTTCCTAACTTCCTAGCCCTAATCTCCGAGACCAGGCTGGGATTCCAGCCTCACTGTCAGCTCCTTTAGGTGCAGGCCGGCCTTTGTGCATAAAGTGGGACCCGTGTGCGCGCTTAGTCCCCCAGTCATGTGTGACTCCCTCCCACACTATGGGAGGGAGTAGCCGGCTATGTAGCCCGCCAGGCTCCTCTGTCGGGATTCTCCAGGGAAGAATACTGGAGTGGTTTGCCATTTCTTCCTCCAGGGGATCTCGTTGACTCAGGGATTGAATCCGAGTCTCCTACATTGACGGGCGGATTCTTTCCCAATGAGCCACCTAGGAAGCCCATAAGGTGGGACATCCCAAGCTAAATTCTGCCCAGGGTGACCCCCACCCCCTGGTAACCCTGCAGTCAGACAAACCTAGCTAGTTGCAGCCGTGTTTGCCATCAGTGAGCCGCTGTGTGACCGTCAGCCTGCAGTTAGCATGTTTGTTCCCTTTCACAGGGCTACAGAGGGAAGTGATCCTACAGGGTAGACTTATCCCCCCATCCCGGACCTTAAGTGATAAACCACTTGCCACCCTGAGGCCCTCCTAGATTAAAATTCTGGAGCTGTCACTGCCCGTTGTCATTCAGGCTCCGATGTCTGCAGTAGCCTCTCCTTCGTTCAACACTTGCATATACTGGGGGGAGAGAAGCAGGAGTCAGGCCAGAGGCGGCCAGAGTTACCCTGATAACAGCAGGGGCGTTAAAGAGACTGCATGGACCGTGGGCAGGTGGCACAGTGATAAAGAATCCTCCTGCCGATGCAGGAGATGCAGGAGACTCGGGCTGGATCCCTAGGTCGGGAAGATCCCCTAGAGCAGGAAATAGCAACCCACTCCATTATTCTTGCCTGTAAAATCCTATGGATAGAGGAGCCTGGTGGGCTACAGTCCATGGGGCCACAGAAGGTCAGACACGGCTGAGCAACAGAGCACACACACGTGGACCACAAACATCTAACCAGTCTGGGGGCAATAGCCAGGGGTCCAGAGGGCCTGCGTCTGACCTGGTTCTCGATGGAGTGGTGAGGAAATAGCTAAACAAAAAGACACAGGGGGACTTCCCTGGTGGTCCGGTGGTTAAGACTCTGTGCTTCCAACGCAGGGGCCACGGGTTCGATCCCTGGTCCGGGAAATGAAATCCCACAGGCCCTGGGGGCACAGCCAAAAGATTTTTTTAAGAAAAAAGGAAGTAAAAAATAGAGGATGATGTAGAAGTGACTAAGGCAAAGGCTAAGGTGTAGGAAAAAGGCACATACAAGGGAGATAATCAGGAAGGAAAGCAGCATAGCTACACTCTTCTGCTTGAGGACATCAGCATAGGTGCGAGACAGCATCACTCCAGGTAAGACGCAGCTGCCAGCTCATCTCCCATGAGGGCAAGAAGCTGCTTGACCCAGAACCCACACTTCCCCAAGAATGCAGTGGCTTCAGAAAGCCCCAGGCACCCAGGTACGGCAGCCCAAGGTGACAGAAGGCTTAGGACCCATCTAAGAACATGCCTTTCTCTTTTTCAAATAACTCACAAAATCAAATTCGGCATTGCTCAAAGGGATCCCAACTTGCGTGTGGTGGGGAAATCAGAGCTTGGGACTGGCCCTGGGCTACTCCGAGGATTAGCAGGAAGCCTTACCCTGAATTCGCAAGTTTTGTGATGCAAACCATCTCAAAGCTCTGGTCCAGATCTTCACCTGAGACGCCCTCCCTTTTCCCTTTGGTCCTGTCTTCTACTCCAGGGAGCAAGTTAGATGAGTGGGAGATTGATTAAACTGTGCTGGGAAAACGTCTCGGCCTCACCCACTCCTCCTTCACACCCCCAGGAAGGAGGAGGTGCAGACTGTGTCTGACTCTTTGCAACCCCACAGACTATAGCCCACCAGGCTCCTCTGTCCACAGGGATTCTCCAGGCAAGAATACTGGAGTGGATTGCCATCTCCTTCTCCAGGGGATCTTCCCAACCCAGGGATAGAACCCATGTCTCCTGCATTGGCAGGTGGATTCTTTACCACTGAACCACCTGGGGTATAGACATATTCCACTCTTGGATGAGGGTTTGTTTTTTTTTTTTCTCTCTTTTCCTTTGTGCACAGGGAAGCATTCAGCCTTGATTGTCAACATCAGTCATTTGCACCCAAGCCAGGGACCAGCTTCAGGATGAAGGCATCCTGGTGCTGGGAGAGCTGAAATGAAAGAACAGAGGTCCCCCGTGACATCACTGATCCTCCACTGAAGCCACTGGTCCCAGAGCCTGTCTTACCATTAGACATCTTGCTAGGTGAAGAAGTACATGTCTTCACCATTTAAACTCCTGAGTTATGTCAGGGAGGGTTTATGTCACTCACCCAGAAGGTGTCTCTGACTGAACGGTCATGCTGACTGCTCCAGGCTGAAGTCTGAACACCTGGCCCACTCCGGTACTGACTCTGCTGTCTGATCTTGGAGAAGGGACTCCACCTTTCTACACCTGTTCACTCCATCTCAAATGTGGGGAAAATTTCTCCTGTCCCTCCTTATTTTGCAAGGTGATTTGAAAACCAGTGCAGGCCCTGGTGGGCCAGTGGTTAAGACTTCACCTTCCGCTGCAGGGGTTTTGGGTTCAGGGAGCACGTCAGACCACGGATGCTCAATTTCAAGATGACCTTCTGAGCTGACTATGCTGTTTCTGCCTGTAGCCACCACCCCCCCGCCCACCGCCCCCTACTGCCATAAAAGCTCCTGTCCTCTGATCATCAGTGGGGAGGACCGGCCTTTGGACAGGCTTCCACCTGCCCACCCCAGCAGCCAGCATCCAAAATAAAGCAAACTTTCCTTTCTACCAACCTGGCCTCTTTAATGGCTTTGAGCGGTGAGCAGCTGGACCCCACTTTCGGTTACAGACTCCCCAGCTCAGAGCATCTGAACCCCACTCTTATCCTGCTCCTCTCTGTGGCCCTTCCCTAGACCTTCTGACTCAGTCCATCTCCCCAGATCTGTCCTTCTGGTCATCTCAGGGCCACTTCCCCTCTGCTCTCTCCATCGGCTGCTAAGCTCTACATTATTCTAGGCTTCAGCATCTCACCTCTCCTACCTTCTCTCATTTTCTTCTGTCTGGACCACTGGCATCTTCTTCTAACTGGTTTCAACACTGCTAACATCTGCACCTTCAAATGCGTCTGACACAGTGTAGCCTGATTCATCTAAAACATATCTCGGCTCTTGATTCATCTGCCCATGACTTAAGCAACCCAGCCCCTCCCTGATCCTCACATACGTCCGTGCTGGCCCATCTGGATTTCTCTGTTAAAACTCTTCCTTTGCCCAGAGGAGGGACCACCCTCCACCCTTACTTCCTGAAGCCCAGCCTTTTCTCGTGTTCCCCAAAGATTCTGACCCTTCCCTTCTCCACCCTCTGAGATATTTTGCTTGTTCCTGTCTCAGGAGGGGCTTTCCTGGTGGCTCAGTGGTAAAGAATCCGTCTGCCAATGCAGGAGACGTGGGTTCAATCCCTGAGTGGGGAAGACCCCCTGGAGAAGGGCATGGCAACCCACTCCAGTATTCTTGCCTGGAGAATCCCATGGAGAGAGGAGCCTGGTGGGCTACAGCTTATGGGGTCGCAAAGGAGTCAGACACAAGTTAGCGACTAAAGAACAACCACCTCTCCTGGGGCATCTATCCCATTCTACCTCACATAACCATAATCCCAAGACAGGGGCTCTTTCCTCTTCCCTTCTACATTGTACATTTGAGGCAGAAGATCACACCCTGTTCACGTCTGTGATTGCCCCGCAGAACTAGCAGAACAGCCGGTTTGATGTAGGTGTTTAATACCCGTGTACAGAATGAACGGATGTGCCTATCGCTTGGGAGATTTTCCAAACGCCAAGTGGGCAATCCATTTCTGGGTCTGTCTCTCTTTCTATTTAATGATGCAAATCAGTTGTAGCCCTAACGAGCCCCACGTTGCTGGTGGAGCCAATGACTAACCCTATAACAGACTTGGGGCTGCTTTATGAAAGCGCTCTCCAAACATCTTTATAGCACAGCCAGGCACGCAAGGTCGGGAGGAGATAGCTAGAGAGTTACTGGAAGTCAAGTCGAGACAAGAGGTACTGTGTTCATCTGCACAGTCAGGGAGACCCAGGGCACACCGGAACCACCCCCATGCCAAACAGCAGCCCTCGGGCTCCGTGTCCTCTGACCCACCCAAAAGCACCCCATAAGGTCTGGGGGAGCCTGTCCTCAGGTTCACGGGGTCAGGGAGACGAGCCCCGGAGTCTGAAGTCCATGGCAGTGGGTGCGGGTGGGGGGTGGGGGGAAGCGGCCAAGAGGAGAGGAACTGTCGAAAGTGCCACGATTCAGGGCCCGTCTCTTTCTGCCGCGCTCTGGCTCCCTCCCGCCCGCCCATCACCCTGCCTCCTGCACAAGGAGCTATTGAGAAGGGGCAGAACAAACGCGGCCTTATGCAGCTCCCCGAGGAGGCTCTGGGTTTGTCCCAGACAGCTGCCTGTAGCACGCTATGGTTACTCATTACCCGGGCTCCCAGGCAGGAAAAGCAGTAAGCTTAATAGACCCGAACTAACCCTCAGCTCAAACACTCAAGCTGTAAATAAATAAATAAGTCAGGTGTACCCAGCCTGGGGGAGGGTGGGAGGGGCGGGCGATGGCCCGGCAAGGGGACTCACGGAAGAGGAGGAGGAGGAAAGGAAAACGCGAGTCTCGGGGAGCAGGAGGGGCAGAGGAGGGAACGCTCCCCTTGGACGAAGGACAGAGGGGTGTTTGTGCGGCTGGCGCGTCCTTGCCTGCAGAGTGGACTCGGGTCTCAGCTGGCCATTCGCAGAGAAAGAGGACTTTGAGAGGCCAGGCAGCAACGCCCCATTTCTGCAGTGCCCAGGCCCCCGCCCGCCCAGGCGTGGCCTGCTTCTGGAAATGATCACCTGCCGTTCCGTTTGCTGGTGGAGAGAAATGCTGTAAGTTTCACCTGCCTCCTGGCTCCCGCAGCAAACTGTCTGGTCCCCAGTCATCACAACTCCCACTGAACAGGTAGGCAGTATGTGACAGATGGAGAAGCCAGAGGGATGAGAGGCGGGGCGACGGCTGGCCTAATCCCCAATTTGAAAATATCTATACTGGTGGTTCCTTTCCAGAGGTGACCTCTGTCCCCTCCCACTGGGGACGCCAGGCAATGTCTAGAGACAGTTTTGATTGTCACAGTGGAGGGTGTGGCTGGTACTGGCATTTAGTGGCAAGAAGCCAGGATTTGTTTAAACACACTCCAACGCCCAAGACAGCCCCCAGGACACAGCTCCAGCCCGGAGGTCATGGAGCTCAGGAAATTCTGCCCTGGATCTCTGTCTCAGAACCGAATCTGCAGCCCAGGTCCCCTCTGCTTCTGCAGATGGCATCCATCAGTCCCTTAACCCATGACAGTTCCAGAAACCCACCCATCCTTCCAGGATGAGGGAGGGAGGGAAATCCTAGACCCACATCCACACACGCGTGGCAGTGCCCTGGTCTCCTTTTGACTAACTCTGGAGACAAAAAACGCAGAGGACCTGTACCAGTCAAACCAGCATCCCTGAGTCACTGCCTGACCAGTCAGCAGACTGAAAGTGAAAGTCGCTCAATTCAGTTCAGTCACTCAGTCATAACCGACTCTGTGACCCCATGAACCGCAGCAGGCCAGGCCTCCCTGTCCATCACCAATTCCCAGAGTTTACTCAAACTCATGGCCATTGAGTCGGTGATGCCATCCAACTATCTCATCCACTGTCATCCCCTTCTCCTCCTGCCCTCAATCTTTCCCAGCATCAGGGTTTTTTCCAATGAGGCAGCTCTTCGCATCAGGTGGCCAAAGTATTGGAGTTTCAGCTTCAGCATCAGTCCTTCCAATGATTTCCTTTAGGATGGACTGGTTAGATCTCCTTGCAGTCCAAGGGACTCTCTTTTTATTGTGGAGGTTTCTCCCAGCCAAACCCATAGACCCATCTCAAAACTCATTACTGGATACTCCATTGCGCTCCAGAGAGACGAAATCCAAGGGACTCTCACGAGTCTTCTCCAACACCACAGTTCAAAAGCATCAATTCTTTGGCACTCAGCTTTCTTCACAGTCCAACTCTCACATCCATACATGACCACTGGAAAAACCATAGCCTTTGTTGAAAGTCGCTCAGTCATGTCCAACTCTTTGCGACCCCATGGACTATAGCCCGCCAGGCTCCTTTGTCCATGGAATTCTCCAGGCCAGAACCCTGGAGTGGGTAGCTTATCCTTTCTCCAGGGGATCTTCCCAATCCAGGAATTGAACAGGGGTCTTCTGCATTGCAGGCAGATTCTTTACCAGCTGAGCTACCAGGGAAGCCAAGTTAGCAGCCTGGCCAAGTAATTTCCATACCCAGGATGCGGGCACCCTTCACTTTGTCTCAGGGTCTCTGCCAGCCTTGACGCGCTGAGGGTTTGGGAGTTTGTGTCTGGGTTTCGTTTTCTCCTCACTCTGTGGCTCACAAGCAGAATGGTCTTACACTAGACCTCCACCCTCTCTGGACCTCAATTTAATAAAGCCAAGGTGACAGGGATGGTCCCGTCACCACCTCACGATTGCTGCTAAGTTAAATGAGCTCTTTCAAGAGATGAGGGTTTCCCTGGTGCCTCAGACTGTACAGCATCTGTCTGTGATGTGGGAGACCCAGGTTCGATCCCTGGGTTGGGAAGATCCCCTGGAGGAGGGAATGGCTACCCACTTCAGTATTCTTGCCTGGAGGGCTGCAGTCCATGGGGTCTCAAAGAGTGGGACATGACTGAACAATAGCAATATAACAGGATAATAAAAGTGCCTACCCCGTGGTTATAGGAATGAGTGCATTCAAGTCAAATACCCAGTGCTGGGCGTACTGCAAGCACTCAGCAGATGCTGGCGGCTCTGATTAACGCTCCTTTGAAAGAAAGTTCTTCCCGGAGTCTAACCTCACACCACCTACTCACACCTCCCCCGCTTCCCGGAAAGCTATTCCCCTGGGGTTCCCAGAAAGCCATCCCTGCCCACGAGTTGACTTCCCTTGCCTCTTGGTGGAGACGTCGGACCTGCCCACTGCCACTGTTCCGGGTCCACCCAGCTCACTCAGGAAGGGACGTGGTGGTAGGGTCACCAAGCTTCCGCCTCGGGGACCCCAAGGCCTGCCTGGATGGCCCAGCAGACTGCAAAGGAAGCCTAGCTGGGGGTTCCCCGACCTAGGCCCGCAGCAGGCACCTGTCTCCCTCGGTCCCCCAGATGCTGACGGCAACATTATTGCCACAATAAAGCACTGACAGCCTCTATCAACAC